AGTATATATATATATATATTTTTGATTTTACACGATATGCATAGGGAAAGCCAAGAAAAATGCCTTCCTAAAAACTTTCTCTGGATTTTAGCTATTGTGGAAGTTGCCAAATTTTTTATTTACTCTTGTAAAAATGAAGTATCTTTATTTTAAAAGAGTATTTTTCATTTTAAATATATGAATACATTTTTTGCTATTTTGTTTTTTTTTTTTAAATATGGTTTGAAAATATGGCTAATAAAAATTAAATTAAATTTGGATAAATTTAAAAGAAAAGTTAGAAGCTTTTATTTTTTTTTTTTTTGGAAAGTGAAAAGATAATCATTTCACTAAAAACAGTTTTTGGTGAAACGATCGTCATATATATTTATTACTTAACAATAGATTTTGTGTGGACTCACAGACCAACATCAATAGCTATGAGTCTTTTTTTAAGCACAGTAGTTAAGGGTTAGGACTTCCGCCAAAATACATCGGCAAATTATTAAGACTTACGTGAGCTAGAGCGATTTGAAAATACCTACAAAAATCTCATTGCTTTGCTTCCATTGATACAATTTTTAAATATTTTTATGTAGACCTTTTCGGTTAATTTTTAGAAATTTTTTAATTATTTATTTAAAAGAAACTAGATTTTCGTTTGGCTCCAGCTCACGTAAATCTTAATAATTTTCCGTAATATTTTGGGCCGAAGTCCTGAAATAAAATACATTTTATAATTCCTATACTGCAGATTTTTTGTTTTGTATAAAGAGTGATGCAACCTAATGTACATATATACATATGTAGTATGTATGAACCTTCAATATTGCCTAACTTTTGTGAAACAATTTCATACAGAAAATTAAGCAATTCCCCCTTCAAGGAAAAAGTGGGAAAAAACCGTAAATAAATAATTAAAAAACAAACACACGTCCTAGCATATATTTCTGCGTTTTCTAATCAAGTAACCGAAAAAAGACAAAAACATCAACGTAAAAGGCATATCTACTCTTTCCTTCAACTCGTATCTGCTTCAAAGCTTAGCAATAATTTTGGCAATTCTTCCTGTCTTTTCTGTCGTGTTATTATGCGCGCATTTGTGGTTGTGGCAGCAGAAAAAAATAAAAAATAAAATTTATGATTTTTTCACATCATTTTGGCGTTTGATGAAATGCCAACACAATTACAAGCATTAGCTGTGCTTCCGCAACCCTTTTCTAGTGCGCTTTCATTGCGCTAAGCAGCTAACATTTGATAAGATATCACGCAGGCCTTGCTTGGGAGGCAGAAAGTAAGCGAGGATATACCCCTTTTCATGTCAGTGTAATTGTATCCTTTTTTTTTAATATTTTTTGTGTATTTTTTGGTGATTGAATTGCATACCTAAGCGCTAACATATGTACATAGCATTAACTCAATTCAATTAACACTTATTCAAAGCATTGAAAAGCAATGCAGCAAATAAAATTATAAAAAAATTTAATTGCCACATTTTTGGTACGAAAAAACCTTTTTTGAGATTGCAGATCATTTATCAATTTAAACATTTACAAAACCATCGTAACGAAAAAGCACACTGCACTTAAATATCTGTTATCCGTGTGCAAATGCTTTTATCCGCACTGCTAAAACATGCTCAAAATTCGAAAAAAAAAACAGTTTCTTTGCTGCTTTAAACCATAAAACCTTATATCCGGCCAAGTAAAATTTTATCCTAGCAACACATACATATTTAATTAAAACTACAACGTTATCTTAAATCAAATAAAGCGCTAAAATCTGTTATCTGTTATCTGGCTGAAAAAATTTAAAACCCATCGTAGTGAAAATAGCATGCTGAACCTTCAAATCCATTATCCGGGTGCCGAACTCGTTATCCGTGTCTTCAAAGGTTTCTCACAATTTAAAACCTAATTTTATGCTAATTCCAACTACAAAATCTTTTATCCGTCTATGTAAGGCTCTATCCAAGAAACAGATAGTTTCATGAACAACGAAAAGCTACTATTTTAGCGCTTTGCCACCGCATAACGCACTAAACTCGGTTATCCCGCTAAAAGAACTTGTATCATTTTAACAGAATATAAAACCATTATTGTGGAATTAGTATGCTAAATCTAAAAAACTTTTATCCGGGGTCCAAATTTTGTATGCGTCAAAAATTTCTGAAATTTTAAAACCAATTTTTATTCTACTTTCAACTGCAAAACCTTTTATCCGGCTATGTGAATTTATATCCCAGCAACAGATTACATTTACAACGAAACCCGTCGAATAAAGCACTGAACTCGGTTATCTGGTTGCAAGGACATGTATCCGATGTATTAATTTTTTTCGTAATTTAAAATCAGTATTCTTTGCAAATTTTTGTCTTGCAAATCACTTTCTGACAGTTTATAAACAGGTTCTATGCTGCTTTAAGCCCTACATCTTTTTATCCGACAATGTAAAATTATATGCATGTGTACATATGTACGATTAAAACATAGAAACACGATAATTTTAGGTCCTTTTCATAGAATCAAGCGCAAAAATCTGTTATCCACCTGCAAGCACTTGTATCCAAGTTATAAGATTTTTTCGTAATTTAAAATCGTTATTCTGCATTCATTTTGTAGTTCAAATTGCCTATCCGCAAATGCAAATGCAAATAGTATCCACACACGAATATAGTTTTTATACTATAAATAAAATACTATTATTTCCGCACATTGCTAGCGAATAAAGCACCAGATCTGTTATCCGCCTGCAAAATCTTTCACCCGGAAAATCGAAACTTTCGCGTATTTTATGTTACTTTTCGTCTTTTACTTTTAATATAACACCAAGAAAATATCAATGAAACAGAAACTGTTGTATTAAAAAGGATAAAGCAATAAAATCTGTTTTTCAACTGCAAATTTTTGTATCCCGTGGTTTAGGATAAATAAGTTTTTGGCATATGTATGGGAGCTTGTATGAACATTTTCATTCTCCAAATTCCTTATCCGGCTCAAAAAACTTTATCCGTATATGCGAACAATACATATAATGATCAAATATTACTTTAGTGACACTATAATCCATCTTTTTCATGGATTTTTTTTTTATCCGTATGCATAATACTTAATTTAATTTCTTTAAAATGCTTCTAAAACGAAACGGATTTGTTAAGTGAAGATAAGACATTATCCATAAGGTCGAAAACTGTTTTGCCCCTGGATAAGGTTGTTCTCTACATTTTTCACTCTTAAAATATCTTATCCATCTTGGTAAACTTTTATCCGAATATGCGGATAAGGGTAGCAATAAGGAAAACCTTCTGGTGTGGTACTTGCAATCTTTTGAGTACGAAATGTGTTTATCCGGTCGCATGTTCCCATAGAAAAAACTTCGAAAAAGAAAAGAAATACAATTTATTCTACATTTTTCACACTTCCAATTGTTTTGTTCAAATTCAATTCACACTTCAAAACTCGTATCCATCTCAGTTAAATTACTGAACATATGGAGAACGTTAAAAATGATGTAATAATATTTTTATCCGGTTGCATAATAATGAATGAAATCCAAAAGAGAAACAACTTTTAGCTATGAAATCCTTTTTTTAAGTCACGAATGTGTTATCCGTGCTCATATCAATATCATTTTGCCTACGAATGTGTAGCGCGTGTAATTTAATGTGATTATGTTCAACTTAAGGTATTGTTTTGGGAGCAAAAAAACAAAAATAATTTGCTATCAAAATTGCGTTGCTCTAACTGTACTTCTAATAGTAGTTGCAACGCATGCACACGCCTCTGTACCTAGGCAAATCTGTGTCTACATATGAGAAAGAGTGGTGATTTTTTGCTAGTTTCTGTATCCTCATACTGTTCTTTGGCGCATTTTTTCTTCCCCCATCACATAATGTTCGTCTATTATTTACTGCTTGCTGTCTTGATTTTTCAGCTATTTTGAGAGATTTCTTATGCATGCGTGGCATGTTTGTATGGTTGAATGTGTTTTTTGTATGCATGTGTGGGCTTGTCCTCGTGTATTTTGATATGCCTAATTTACTATTTGTGGCAGAAATTAGCTGGTATTTAGCAGACTTCCTTTCGCTTGATTCACAGCATTGTTTTTTTTTAGTTTTTTTTTCACATTTTCACTTTTTTTTCTGCCTCGCTGTCATTAGATCCTTCGACAACCCTCATTTCTAAACAACAAGGGGTAAAATATGTTATTCTTTGTCATACACATCCGTTCATAAGGATCAACTTAAAAAAAAATAAAAAATTACGCTACCCAGGAAGGCGGACACAGAGTTCCATTTGACATATTTCTGTATATTTTGATGGTAAACATAAGTAGATTTAGGCTCTAGAAACTATTAAAAGCAAATGTTTTCTATACAAGATTTTTTTTTTTTAATAATTTTGTAATAAAAATATTCAGATAACTTCTAAAATTTTTCAAATTTTAATAATTTTTTTTTGGATATTACCACCTCGTAGTCCTTAGCTAAGTATTTGGCTTTTATTTATAAAAAGCGCATATTTCTAAAAGCGTTTGCATAAGTGTTAAATTAAAATTAAAAATAAAGAATAAAAAAAAATTCCCACATAAAATAATTGCAATAAAACTAATTTCGGTTAGTGGCAACTACTTTCAAAGTTCGCTGAGTTTTTTTAAGGGTTAGTTGAATGGAAAATTTTAAGTTTACAAATTTTTTTATAAAAAGGTTATTTGTATTGCTATTCAAAAAAGGTTGAGTGTAGAAATATTAAATACCTTGAGGTGCCAGCACCTTCCAACGGCGGTCGATCCAAAGGCGGATCAAATATTTGTTCGCGATCTTCCTTTGACAATTCCAACTCGGCAAATTGATCCAATTCTGATGCCATTTTGTTTTTTTAGTTTTTTGCGTAGCTTTTTACTTTTGAATTTACAAAAATTAGAAACTTAAAATTTCTGTGCGTTTGGCAAAATTTTTGGAATGTTTTTGTTTTTCCTGGTGGATTTTTCTTGAAGTTTTTTGTTTTGTTTTATGTTTTCTCAATGCAAAATTTACTGAAGTCAACTTTTGTTAGATGCTTGCAAAACGTTTTAAATGCAAATCATAAAAATGGGTTTAATAATTTTGTTTAGTTTTGAATTGCCAATTTGCTGTTTTTGGTTTTCATTTAATTATTTTGTTTTTTGAAGTTTTTTGTATCCAATTGTTTTGTTCAAATTCAATGTTAAATGTCAATAATTTGCCAAAAACCTACAACGAAAAAAAGAAAAGAAAAATTAACAAAAACGTTGAATGAAAAAATTTATAAAAAAGCGAGTAGCTAGTACATAAAAATTTTAAATATGTACATAATAAATATGTACATCATATATTAAAATATTTTTTATCCACTATTTTTCCAATAATACCATAGAAGAGTGTAAAATAGCCTAGCAAAGAAGAAGCGCACCAACAGTAAAAGACTAGGCAAGTACCTAGCCACTTGTGGCGGGGTGAACGGGGTGCTGGGACGTGCCATAAAGTCTGGCAGCGCTTGTACGTTCGACGCGTTCACAATGGCAGTTTGCAAAATCACGTTCTTTTTTTTAAGCTTTTGTCGCGCTAATTAATTATCGATCAAAACAGGTTGACAGCTAAACAAAGATAATAATTAAATTTGTAAAATCTTTGGAATTCGCTAATGCTAATTTTCTATAGAGTAAATATGTATGTAAGCGCATGTGTGTGTGTGCGAGTATATGTGTTTGATAAAACAAGTCTTGGAGCTCTAAATTGACGAAGAAGCTATGTATTTTAAGCATGAAAAGGCGAGCTTAGATGTTTTCAGATATTTTTTAAGCGATTAGTTGCATCGACGTAGCTTATTTGACTGCCTAACATCTTATCCGTGAGTTAGATTTAGATGTGAGAGTATTGAGATCATTTCGGTAGCAGTAAAATGCCTTATCCGTCGTATACGGTTGCATATGTTTTTAACCGATGCATTTATTTGTTTCGTGAAGGACTGTTAAATTATAATTTTGCAAGCGATTGCATTGAAATGCTATATTCAAGTGCCGAACATGTTATCCGAAAGTAAAATTTTGTATCTATTGAAAATTTTTTAACATTGTTGAAGGAATGCAGCGACTAATCTTACTTATCCAGTTGCATATTATCTTATCCGAGCACTTTTTCTGTTTCCAAAGATTTTCATATCATAATTTTGTAAGATATTTATTTGAAATACCCCGACCGATTGCTTTTTAATTTATCCGTGCGTTGAAATAAGTTGTGCGGGGTATTTAACCCATAATTGTAGTAATAAAACGAGAAATATAATTTATCCATTTACATAAAATTTTTATCCGAGCGTTTAATCGAATCTCAAAAGATTTTGAAATCTTGGTTTTGCTAACGATTGCATTGAAATACCTCAACCGATTGCTTTACAGTTTATCCGATTGTTGAATTAAGTCTTATGGGGTATTTAAACCATCATTGTAGCCATAAAATTAGAAATCTATTTTATCAGCTGGCATATTATATTTATCCCAGCTTCCAATCGAATCTTAAGAGATTTTGATGTCATGGCTTTTCTAACGGTTACATTGAAATACCTAACCCGACCGCTTTCCAACTTATCCGAGTGTTGAATTAAGTCTTATAGGGCATTAAAACCATTTATCCGCTTGATTAAAGCTTTTATCCGAGCGCTCATTCGAGTCTTAAAAGATTTGGAAATCTTAGTTTTGGTAGCGATTGCTCTGAAATACCGCAACCAATTGGTATTCATCTCCTCCTAGTGTTCAAATAGTAATTATTTTCCATTTAAGATATTTTCTCAGTGACGCATTCCACATAATCATCAACACTATTTATCCGACAAGGTATGAACTTAGACGAATGTTTATTTACGTAAGCAAGGGGTACCTAAACTAGTGTTTCTTCAGGCCATCGAAACTTTTTTCATTCAAAATTTTTTTTTTATCCAGCGTTGCTGAAAGCCAGCTATTAGCACAAAAATGGTTTTTTATATTGCTCCCATCTATTGTTGTCTGAAATTAGGTTACTCGGAAAAAACTGCTTTATCCGTACGGGTTTATACCTTTTAAAATGCACAATCAAAGGCTTAAACTACGAGAAAAGACTCGTTTCTTTTTCCGGTAGATCTTTGACTACGGATAATAAGACCACTCAATGTAATTGTCATGGATATTAATAATTCTCAGCGTCCAACAAAAAGGATTCTCCCAAACGCGTTATCCGTAAGTAAAGTAAAACCATTATAAAATTTTTGATGGCTTTCAATGAACAAATGTGTTATCCGCACTTATGTAATAACTATATATTATAACCACTTGCCGGGCAATTGCGTCTTAGACTCGAAGGCCTTCAAAACCTGTGATTTAACACAAAAAATAAACAACTGAGTGTATCAGCTTCTAACGGTTTCTTTACGACAAGCGTAAAGATCAAAGCAAACGATTGGAATTCAAAAATGAATGAATTAATGCAATCGAAAAAAATGCAAATTAGAAACAAAAAGGAATCAGAAAAACAATACAACCAATGTATTGGTATGCAACAGGTTAAAAAAAATTTAGCGAGAAAAAGACATGAACATCTGAGGTTGTTAAAAGCTTTTTTCAATGTAACTTTCTCCCATTGTATTTAGAAACAAGCACACCTTTAAGCAACAAATGACATCATAAGCTTCTTCCTAGCTCATTGATATCCGATTTCATACCCTGGAATGTATGTACATATGTATGTATGTATCTGCATATGTAACAGGACAACGGGCAAGTTATACGCATGCGCTATAAACATAAATAGTCGCTAATTTAGTTTGAATAAAAATTATATTCACCAATCAATCGAGGTTAGAATATGCGTGCCTATGTGTGTGGACCTCTATGAAGTCATTAGCATAATTGTTGGTTTTTTCTTATGAATTGTTTTTATTTTTATTTTTTTTTAATGTGACGCTCATAGTTTATAAAATCATAGAATTGAGGCGGACAAAGCGATAAAAAACTAGTCAAATTGGAGGTCTGCAGAAATGGTGCGGAAGGTAAAAATGACATTTTTACATTTCGAAGATAATGTCTCCATTGAAGTCTAGAAATAGTCAGGATAAACTGGAAGGGCTGAAACTCTCTCGAATTTTGTTGCTGAAATCTAATGGAAACTAGCGAATTATTTAAACTGCGCTAAGACTAAAGCGAGCGAGTGAGCTCACAAGCACATGGATATCGGTCACTAGCTCTCGTTTCGGAGTTAGCCGAAAGAACACCATTTCCACTGAAGCGAAAAGGTAAATGGATTGCACAGCTATTAGGTATAAAAGAATTAAAAAGAAAAAAATTGCAAGCTGAACCTCTTGAGTACGAAGTTGAGAAGGTCGCATTAGCTCCTTGGTTATGTAAGGGTGCATAGGTCTAACCGCGCGACCAGATTAGATCTATTGTGCTACCCAATTTCAAGTTTAGTTGTTTAACATACCCAGGAATTGCATAAGCTTCAGTTATAAAATCTGCACTGGGTTGACTGCTCTAAGCGTGTAGTCGTTTAAAAATCTGGCTCTACGATGAGATCGTTGGATCTTTTTCCTTTCAGCATGAGCGAAAGATGAGGTCGTTTCTCACTGAAGGAAAAGAACTTCTCTGAGTGATCGTGTCCTTCGACACCTCCCATTGACTAGCAGTGCAGGATTTGTTGGGACCAACGAATGTGCAGGCATATTGCCTGTTTTATAATACGTGGGGGTATGACTTCCTTCCCATTCAGGAAGTAACAAAGTAAGGTGTTGACAATTGCGCTGCAGAGCTCTCACTCTTCAGAGTTGTTGCGATGGAATACAAGTACCTCGGGGCATTACTAAGACCTGGCGTTATCTTCATTCGAGCGCCTACTGCTGCACAAAGAACTAGTTTTATTTTAAGCATTCAGCGTAAATGATCGCCCCGCATATCGATCGACTGTGATAAGCCGGCATGTTGGAGAGCATAAGATTAACCTATTGAAAAGCCTATGGATAACATGTACATTAACGAAACATATGTAAGTAAGATGCAAAATTGAAAGTATCATAGCGTTTTTCTCCTCGCCGACGATGCCAGAATATTCAAATTTGGAAAGAACCTCCGATCGGATGTGAATAATTCTGAAAATTGAGCTGAATAAAGACTGCGCATGATGGATTGATAATTTGCATAAGTTTTACAACGATATAGACAAAGTCTTTGTGTTCTCTTGGACTTGTCTTCGACTGGCGTGTTTTGTTGGACTCGGCCAGAAACGCTTAGGCCAATCAAAAAGCAGAAAGACTAGCAACTTTATAAACAGCTGAGGAGCATATGCTGAGATAATTATACCTAATTAGCTGTCATGGTAGAGGCTTGAGATGATACTGAGCTTGTTTCTATGGACTATATGGGTTTCAGTTGACAATGATAAGCTATGACTCCCTTCAGTGGATTGGCAATAACAAACCATGCCTTGAAATCATTCGAACAGCTGGGGTTTGTTCAGAATTTAAGTATCGCTAGAATTCTATGGATTCCAGTCAGAAAGTAAGCACTTCACACTCCCACCAGTGGATTCCATGAAGGCAGTAGCCAGTTTACGCTCGAAACGTAACGATAACCGCGATTTGTTTAGTGTATTAGAGCTCTATAAACCACTTCGACTATGTGGTTTCGAGTTGGAGAGTGAGCAGTAAAGACTGCCAAACAGCTGGGGTTTTTAAAGTGTAAGAGTTCTTTAGAGCGTTTATGGGTGACCAGAGCAACCTAGCCAATTTGCCAAGATTTGTGCTTTGCTTAGCTTACTAAACATCCATCCGAACCAAAGGCACCTGCAACGACGGCTGAAGCTTTAAGTACTCGTTTGAATATGTGTGCTATGTGGCAGGAACTTCAGCTTTAAGTACATATTTGATCACCTTTGGACTACTCTTAGGTCAGTAGTACCGAACCCTTTGGATTTCAAGATTTTCGTCCATGGCCCGCTGAGCCGAGTTCAGGGGCAGACCGCATCTGGACAAAGCAGCAGTTAGCTTCTCAGCTATGCAGCTTTGACGCCGCGGAATCCTGATGCGAACTTCGCTAGAGGCGTCCCCTGACCATGCGTTGGGTTCTTAATTAGAAAAAATACGGCACCTTCTCAGAAACTAAGATTATGGTATGCCTACCTGTCCAATTTTCTTGCATGTATATGTGAATAGGTTTATACGGAGTTGGTTCTAATGATTAGACTCCGCTTAGTCCACTTTTGAGGGAAAGATTCTTCCGCACCCAGAACTCGGTAGAAATGATCGGTCCCTGCCGAGATACGTATACATATTTGAAGTTTGTCGCCAGATGTTTTATGACTTAAAACTCCTCGAGGGAAGGTTTCCCGTGTGCCAGGGCTAAATAATTATACTCAAAACTTGTACATATTGAAGCTTAAATTCGATATTTCTGGTAAATTAAAAAAAAAAGAGTAAAAATGATCACACAAAAACGCGGTATGTACAAATATAACAAAGAATAAAGATGTGCAGTAGAGCTGATAACGGAAAGATCTGCCAGCAAGTTAAGCAATGTCGGAGAAGGGGGAAGAGGATATGAAAAAACGCAATCAAAAGAACAAACCCACACACACACAAACCAACCTAATGAACAAATTATACGGTGAGGGGTAAACGCATGTTGCCAAAAATGCACCTCTACATTAGTAAAAGCGCATGAAAGCACGCAAAAAGTAGCAGACGAAAGAGTGACTGAGTGAGTTAGTGAGAGACATGGAAGGTGAGAGTTATTAGAGTGGTGAGTCGGCGGGTATGGCAAATCAACAAACTTATGGAAAGATTGTCGTCCAGTCAGTCAGACTGACAGACTGGCTAATACTACAACGCAAATGTGCATATGTGGCTTTGTGTGTGTGTGTGTGTGTGTGTGTGTGTGTGTTAGGACGTGAAGTGGAGTGGCTTAGGAGGGCGCTAAGCACACTGTGTGAATGCAAAGCAAAGTTTGCAAAAGGGGCGAGGGACGACAAATTAAGCTAGGCAAAAATACAATAAGCAAAATGTCTTTGCGCGCACAAACACACACACACACACAAACTTGCACACCGCAATAATGCCAAACAAATTTTTTTGGCAGTTTTTTACACACTTACATATGTACTTATGCATGTACGTATGTTTGCACATATGTATATATGTACGTACGGTCGTTTCCGTGCCGCGACTGCTGCTGTTGCTGGTATTTTTCAGCTTTTGATTGCTCTCACGTCGCTGACGCTGCGTATGCTTTCTGCTTTTGCATTGGCTTTGGTTGCTTGGCTACTGCTACTACTACTGTTGATTGCTGCCTTCGCCGCCTGTTGTTGTTGTTGTTGTTGTTCTAGTTGCTCTTATTGTTGTTGCAGTTGCTTTTGCTTTTGCCTTTGCCTTTACTTTGCGTTTACCTTTGCTATGCGTGGCAGTTGCTGCTATTACTCTTATTGTTGTTGTCGTTTTTGTTGTTGCTGCTATTTGCTTGCCTGCTTGCTTGCTTGCTTAATTTTTTTTTTCTTTTGCACTGCAGTTGGAAACTTTCCGTCGTAGGCACTTTTTGAACCAAATAACAAAAAAGATTTGCGAAAATTTACTGCGAACTTTTTTACCACTTTGGTGCTTTTGTAGACCAATTTTTTCTTCTTCGAATTTCTTAAAATTTGTTTTAAGCAAAAACGTGTCCAAAATTTATGCAAATTTTCAATTGTAACAATTTTGTATAGGTATTTGCAATTTTTGCGCACAAAAAATGTCACTGGTATTTTTAATTTTTTTATTTTTGTTGAGTTTTAGCGAAATGGAAGAAATGTTACAAACTTTTTGTTGGAATTTTTATGTCGTTTTGGAACATTTGACATTTATGTTTGCTTGAGTTTGACTATGTCCAAAGATCAAAAAAAAAATTCAAGGGAAAAAATGATGATAAAAAAGCGGCTGTGTGAAGATAAAAAATTAAAATTTTTATTAAGAAAAAATACTTAAATAAAAAATATATGTACACACATATATGCACGTGTGTGTGTGTACATACATATGTACATATGTACATATTTATATATCTTTGATTTTTTTCGAGCACTGTTGAAGATTTTGTTACTTCTTTTGCTTGTTACGTGTCTGATTTTCGGCAAAATGATGTCAGCCGGCTATGCTGGCCTTTTCGTCGATTTTTTTCGCGTGTCTTTGCTAAGTAAGTATGTAGCCTAGCTAGGCAAAGAAAATTGCTTTGGTAGAGTTCCGTTTGTTGTTGGGGTGTTACGCACTTTGAGTGGCAAATTTTCGCAATTGCTAAACGACTATTTAGATTTTTTATTTGGCTGCTTTTAATTAAAAAATTAAATTTTATAGTGAATTTATGGTTTATTGCTAATTTTACACGATTCGGATTTAAAATTTCCTAATGGTTAATTGATTACAACTTTATTCAAAGTTAAAAAATTTATAAAATTATGAAATTAAAAGAAAAAGAATTGTTAAATATTGCGGTATTCATAATTTCAATAATTTAAAACAATTCTTCGAAATTTAAATTTAGTCCTTAATTTAAGTTCCTTTTGATTTTTGAACAAGTTAAATTTAAACGTAGTCCTTAATTTTAGTTGCCTTTGATTTTTGAATAAGAAATTATTAGTTAAAAATTTAAGTTAAAAAAAAAAAATATTTTATCAAAATTTTGAAAATAATGGAAATAAAGAAATAAGAGTTATATATTTTTAAATTTTGAATTGAAAACTATATAAACCGAACTAATGACTGCAGAGCCGATTCTAATTATCAAAACATTCGGATTTACGAGTGCTTCAGAATATGAAAGTTTATTAAAGAAAACAAAATTTTTAATAAAAAATCAAACATTTAATTTATTGTAAAATGACATAATGCAAGTACTTAAAAAAAAATATTAAAATTTTTTGTCCAAATTTTATAATTTAAAATTTCGAGTTAACAATTTTTCGTAGGTTTTAGTGATGTTGAATTTTCTGCACAGAAAGGCTTTCAATTAAAAACTACTTCGGTATATATTTTTTGATTTGATTTTGAAAATTATGAGATTCAAGAAATATGAGTTTAATAACTTATGATTTTAGTAATTTTTAAAAATTTTAACAAAATTTCTATTTTGAAAAATTGTCTTTTATTTTAGTAATTTGCGATTTCATATAGAAAATGTTTTACAAAATTAAAAACAATTTGACTATTTCTTGTTAAAAATTATATTTTTGTTAGGTTTTTGTAATAGTTTCTTGACTGGTTTGTTTTAATGGTTTTCTTTTAAATATGTTTGTTGACTTAAATCATATTTTAATAGCATTTGGCCAGGTAATTTTTTTTGTTTGCTGAAAAAATTTTTATTTTGTTAATTAAAAAATATTTTGTACAAATGTGGTTAATTTTGTTTTTATTTTTTTTGGTATTAAGATTTCTTCACTTTATCTGATTGCCGTTGAAACTTTTTTTTTATTTTAATAGTTGAATTTTCGCGTTTTAAATTTTTATGTGTGTATGTACATACATACATATGTATTTATATTTATTTATTTTTTACTTTTTGATTGATAAAAGTACTTTTTTCGACTATTTTAGCGGGAAATATATTTTAGTTTTTATTTAAGTTTCGCAATTTTCAAATAATTTAAATACTTACATACATGTATAAGCGAGGCTATTTATTTTTACTTGTATAAGCGAGGTTATTTATTTAAATTTCTTCAAATCAGATTAAATACTTTATGTGATTTTTTATTTTAATTTTATTTATCATATTTTAATTACTATATTTTTCTCATATATATTTTTTAATTTTATCTATTAAATTGTTACTTTAATCTATTAAACTTTATTTTATTTTGTACTTGGTTTGTGTTAAATTGTATTTAGGGTTTATAAGTAAATTTTTTTTTCGAATCTTTTTAAATTTAGCTTAATTTTTTTAAATTTTTATTCGAATTTTATAATTTCAACGTACTAAGTTTTTTTTTAAATTAATTTTCAAATGTTTTTAATGTAGTCTATTTTAATTTTATGTTATTTTACTTTACTTAAATCAATTAAATTTTAGTTTATAGTTTGTACTTTGATTTCTTTCCATTTTAAAACATTTTTTGCATACATATGTATATGTAAATAGTTTTAGTTATATTTAATTTGAATTTGATAATTTTAAGTAATAAAATTTAATTTAATATCTTATTTTTGTTGTTGTTTTTTTCTTATGTTATTTTATGTAGATATTTTTCTGTATTTTACTAATTTTTAGTCCATTTTAAATTTGCTTAACTGTAATTATTTCATTTTTTGTGTATTTTTATTTTACTATTTTTTGAATGTTACTTATTTATTTTTTATATCTATTTTTTAGCACTTCTTTCTAAGTTCTCCCAGTTTTCAAACAAAAAATTTCCAATTTTCTTTGCAACTTTTTTTTCTACTAAAATAAACACACTTCCAATCTATAAAGTTGCATTGCTTAGTGGCACAGTTCTCCTTTTGTTGCTGCTCTTTCGTTTAATTCACAGTGTTTTAATAACGTCGAAATTGTACTTAAAAATATAATCACAAAAGTAGTATCTATTATTTTTATGAAGCACTCTGCACTTGTCTGTTAAACATATGTTTCGTCACTTTGCAATTAATTAATTAATTTTTTGTGTTTGCATTTTTAAAGATTTTTTTTTTCTTTTTAACAATTTTTGCAGTGTCGTTTTTTGTGTGTATATATATATATATATTTTTTTTTTTTAACAACAAACGAATTAAAAATAGCGTATCGCGCCGCACAACACACACTCGCTCTCCGCTTTGTCGTCGATGGCTGGCGTTCGGCAAAAAAAAAAATAAAAATTAAAAGCACACACTCGTGGCGCAACAACGGCGGTGGGTAGTAGTGAGTACTAGGTATGTAACTACATACATACATATCCATATGTACACATTTAAAAAGTCCAAAAAAAAGGTGAAAATGTTTGCTTTTGTCTCTCGACTGTCCGACTGTCTGTGTACTACCTCTGCCACTGATTGACTGACTGCCGCTTCGTTTGTCCGGCGGTCTGATATGGACTTGGTCTAGGTCTTGGTCTTGGTCTTGGTCTCGGTCGCCGTTGCCGTCTGAATTTTGGTCTCAAACTTCTACTTGCACTGACTTGCGCACTCCGGCTCGTCGTCTTCTCCGTTGCTTACGGTTAGGAACGTTTTCAGACACTGACTGGACGGTCGGCGCTTGCTGTTGTCAGTTGGCCAACGGCGGCGGTGAGATTGACGAGAGCGAGAGTTTCCAAAAAATTATTGCCAAAAATATGCCAACAACGTAAATCAACAACAAAATAAAGCTTCAAAAGTATACTAAGTGGTATGCGTAAGAAGCACTCATGTGGCGCATATATGGGTGCATGTGTACAAACATGCAGATACATATGTGTAAGTGTCCAAAATATTTAATTTTCACTTTATTTAGCAAAGTTTTTTTATTAGTAGCAACAGCAGTGGCAAAAATTCCAATAAACTGCAGCCACATCCGTGCTGGTTTACTGCTCAGTGGCGCTCAAACACATGCCACACATACGCACACTATCAAACTTTACTGTTGAGCGCGCTGAGCAGCTGCTTGAAAAATGCCAACACTCAAAAGTAGTAAAAAAAAAAACACAAAAACATTGCCAAAAATTTTTGAGTGCAATTTGTACGCTTGGAGATTGCGCTCAAAACAAACCAAGGAGCCAAGTGTCTAAAATGCAGAAAATGTTGTCACAGCAAGAGAACTTACTCTTTGTGGTTGACCGAGAAGTTTGGTGTCCATTTTGACGATTAAATTGGTGCTACCTTCAAAGAAGTCTTCTTCCAACTTAGACGGAGTTCATTCACATCTTAGCTTTAGTACCACAACTACTTCGCCTTTAAACGTTTTCACAAAGTTCCAATTAAGAATGTCAGCGTGGAACTATGTGAAGAGATCTAGCCTTGACAAGCAGTGGCTAGCTGCCGTACGCAGTAGTATAAAGTAAGCCACATTCCTCAGGGGCATAACTTTCGGCTGCCTGACTCGAGTCATTGCCTGAAGAGCTGGCAGTGAGAATTCTTTATCTGATGCCTCCTCCATATGTATATGTACGCAGATACTGGCAAGATAGTCTACGCTGTAGAGCTTTGACGGAAGCTCAACCCATCTGCTAAGAAATTGGCATAGAAGCGAGCCACCTCAGTAACTGCGAAAAGACCGACAATTAACGTTGGTGGCGAAGGAGTAAGGTTAAAGTTAGCGACGTTGCTTTCTTCATCTGTCGAAAGTTGAAGTCCTTATCTGGCCATCAGCTGATCGATATCTATAAATGAATATTGAAATTGATTGACTTGCGGTCGTGGCGAAAAATTACTGAAGAGTCGCTCCCAATAACTAGCTCAGGAAGTGAGTTTTATACATGCCGGAAAATTTGAACGTTTGATTTCTTTTATAAAGTGCTGGGTAAGATAACTTCAGCTGTAGGATGAAACCGCTCAGGTATGACCTCTCTCGATTAACAAAAGTCATGATCCCGTCCTACTCTGAAGCGTCAAAGTTGATAAGTATATAATATCGTTTAAGGCGGCTTCTGGACTACCAAAGCAACCTGACTCAACATAAACGTGGCATGCGTAAAGTGCAAACACTTTATCAATAAGACTTTCCCGGTGAGAGAACTGTTCCAGAGCACGGGACTTGTGGTCGACAGTGGTCAGTACTTTTTCGAGATCAAGCCTCGGGGTTAAAAGGAATTAAACAAGGGGTCCCATAAGCTGTTGCTCTCTCCCTATTGTTTTACTTCTACAGCGCGAAGCTTCCTCAGCCACCAGACGGAGATCACTGATCTCGTACGCTGATGGTTGCCCGATTTTGGCGTCCGAAGACGATCTTTCTCGCTTCTTCACTCCATACAAACTTACCTTCTTCAGTATAATATCAGCAGCGACCCCATGCACCAACTGGATGAAGGAGGTCAAGCTGCAATTAGGCATCCACGTCAACGACGCAACGATACTGGCTATTGTTAGCCGGAAAATTTTAAGGGTTACCTTTGTACCTGGCGCACACAGCCACCACAAAGCGCTCGCTGGCAGCACTTGAAGCAAAGAAAAGGAAGCAACAATCAAGGCAATTGGTAAAAAACAAAAAATGGCGCTTACACTTTTGCTTCTCCCCAATTTGTGGTGTATGTACGTCTAAATGTTAGAAAAAAAACGCTTTCGAGTTTTAGATGTCGCTGGGACCTGCGATCGAGCCCAGCTACTGCGGAATGGTAGTATGCACCTCTAACCTCTCAGCCACAGCGGCCGCCTACTGGTTAGCCGGTTCTAAATTACGTTGCGCCTGTATTTTTTTATCACCAGCGATTGGTATTAAACAGCCAGCGAGAATACAATCCTGTCAGAACACCGCACTACGGACAGCAACGGGATGCCTGCTGATGTCGCCTTAACACCGCATATCGAGACCTCAATGCTCAGCAAAGAATTCATACTCAATTGCTGTTGAAGCCAGCAATGGAACAGACACTCGCTGGAAGCAGAGCACCCAAGAAAGCGTCACTACGAAGTTACAGCGAGTTTCAGAGCTACCTGGCACAACTACTATCCAACTCAGGCTGAAAGTTTCAGCTCTCCGCGGCAATTTGACGCAACTAAGATCTAGATATTGTAGCAGGCCGGTCAACATAGGGTCAACGCGGGAATATCCAGCACATGTTGGGCATGTGAAGATACTACACGCTATATGAATTAACTCCTTCAACCGCCTACTCTTCCTTCGACCAAACCTCCCGACAAGCACCTTTATTGGGCCTACCAATAGTTGAGCTTGAGGACAACGATTAGGGCAAGTCTACGTAGTGCCACTACAACACCAACAGAATATGAACCTGAGCCCCCAATTTAAGACGATAATGGCGATGCGACTGTTAAATAGCGAACCTGCTTGAGCGGTCGGCTTGCCCGCTGAGCTATTCAGCAATTTCGGAGTACTCGCGTGTAAGGCTAAAGGCTAAAATTACCGACCTGGCAAATCCATCATACATTTTGCCCCTTATTCTAATTACCTTAAACGAGCAATTTTTGTGTATATGTATATGTATCCATAAGTTTCTCGGCAACGGCTCTAACGTAGCAAAATGAAAAATCGTTTAAAAAAGACTTTCGAAGTTGTATTTCTTCCAATTGTCAAAAACTTTTTATTTGTCACGGGGAAAATACCGCAAAAATTATTTGTATCATGCGAATATCTATAGAAATTATCAGGGTTTGAAAAACTGTTAGCACAGCGACAACAGCCAAGCATTTGATTTTTTATAAATTGTGGTTGCTTTGCTAGCCGGGAACTAGAAGTACCTGATGAAGATCTTGCAGAAGCAATGAGCTTAGCCGACAACGCTTTAAATGAGTTTGAAGAAATGCGACAAGATGCAGAAAAAAACTTTCATTTGCTTTTCGAACACGTAGAAGAAGTATGCCTAGGTACATAAATCAAAGTACCGCGATACAGCAGTCGCCAAAAGAATCGCTTCAATGTGAAAACCCTCAAAACCCCCCGTGTATCCGCCACTGCTCGGAACCCATGGGAAAACATATGTCTATTTTCCAGGCTGAAACATACGCCATAGAAATATGCGCGGACTTTAATATCAAGCGAAATTACCGGAATCAGAACATCGCGATCTTGACTGACAGCCAAGCGGCTATCAAGGCCCTCAGATCTCACCAGGTAACATCTAAACCGCTGAAGGGATGCCTAAACAAGCTAAATGCTCTTCGCCTGACCAATCAGGTTTGGGTTTTCTGGATTGCGGGACATATTGGTATTAAAGGAAACGATATTGCCAATGAACTAGCGAAGAAAGGTGCATCAACCCCTTTCACCGGCCCAGAACCTTTCTGCGGCTTGGGAAAAGGGGCACTCTCTGAACTAGTTCGACTAGAGGAAGGAGCTCCGAGGAATCACTACTGGGATAATCTACCAGGTCTAGAGTAGTCCAAAGCACTTTTAGGAACATATAACCTAAAACGCTTCAAGGAATGTATGAGCTTATCAAAGAATAACTTAAGAATTGTTACAGGAATCCAGACAGGACACTACAGGCTGAATTATCACCTGACTAAACTGGGAATTTACTCGCATGAGCGATGCAGATTTTGCAGGATGGAAAACGAGACTGCACAGCACATCTTAGAAGAATGTCCTGCACTGATGCGTAAACGCAAACAGCATTTGGGTGAACATCTGATAATCAAAGGGGAAGTGAAATTCGTAGACTTAGGTTCTATACTAAAGTCTCTCTCGGATACTGGATTAATAGACAAACTATAATCCATGAAAGGGGCACAATAGATCTTAAGGTCGCAGTGCTCTATCCCCAACAATAATAATAATAATAATAATGATCTAGTGGCATATCTAGTGTCGTGTTCACTTTGACCATTGCTCGGAACTCGCTGGGAATACCTATGGGACCCTAAACTATTGCTTACATATGTACAAATATGGAATCCCGCATAACGATCCATAGAGAAAATTTTTCCGAACAATGGCACTTCGCATTTCTGGCGGTGCATTTCGGTGAATTCGAAAATAAAAAAATTAAAATTACTAAAAATTAACGCGATCTTTTAGTCGTTTTAAACTTGCACTTTATTATATTGAAGTTTTATGTGCTTTCAAACTGCATACCCGAAATTTTTCTAAAAATGAAAATTCCAAATATTGATGATTTTTTTGGAAATTTTAAAAATTTTGTATTAAGTTTGAAACTGTGGTTTGCATACACTGCCGGAAGAAAGTATTGGCGCAGAGAATTTTTCGCAATGTATTCATTTTTTATAAAAAAAAATTTCGCTAAATGTTTATAAAAACATAATTTATACTACAATAAAAACATAAAAATTAAATGTATTAAGTACAAGTTAAACGTTGCTTAAAAAAGCAGCTTCTTCCATACAACGTATGTTCGAATTTTTTTTGTACGCATGAAAATAATGCACTGCCAGCAAAAAATGCCAAAAATCCACGAAATGTTTTAGCAACTTCGTACTAGTAAATTCGGTATACTACAAAACTGCACTTCCAAATTTTTTCGAAAAATCTGATTGGAGAGTATCAAATTTGTATGCAAATTTGTGGAATTTTGCTGAGTTTTGCACAAAATTTACGATTTGTATGCTAATGTTTTTTGTTGTAGCATAAAATATGCTTTTCCTCAATTTTGCACAAAGTTTAGAAATTATGTTTATGATTTTTGTTTTTCGTTTGTTGTAGTATAAACTATACTTTTATAATACGGTAGGAGAAAAAGTTTATATAAAAATTTTTGCGACATTTTGAAAAATTCCCTGTGACAATACTTTTTTTTCAGAAGTATATATGGCTTTGGCTCAAGAATGGACAATATTTTTATAAAAATTAACAAAATAATTTTAGCTTGAAAGTAATTTTAAATATTAAAAAATCAACATGTGAACGCTTATTTGACTCACTGTGTATGTATGTAGGTACACACATTCATATACATACATACATATATAGTGGTATGTGTGTATGTATATGCAGGTAAATTTGAAATGCTCAATAAAAAGTTTTTGTAGGGAGTGAAGTTAGAAATTGAGAAAGTTCACGGCTAATTTTGTTTAGATGCATACACAAGCAATTTTTCGCTAGATTTTGTATGTATGTATGTATTTGTATAACTTTATGTATGTATGTAGGTACACACTGAGAGCTAAATACATACATACATACATACATATGTGCTTTATATACACACATAAGTATGTACATATATACATAGATGTATTTAAGTGTATGGGTTTGTAGAGGTTCTTCACCTTACACGCGATTAAGCGGATGCGGCACACGACCGGCAAAGTGTTGCATAAACAGCAAAAGAAGAATACATAATAAAAAAAAAATTAAATAATAAATTTCCACTTTCACTTTTTATGGAAGCCGCGCAACTATTTTCACACAACGGCGGCGGCATATCCGTTTCCGTTTATTATATACCTTTTTTTTGCTTTTTCGGTTTTTGCCCCCACTCATGCGCCGACTTCCATCTCCATAAGCTCCAACCAGCACCGGCAACCGGCTCGCTGCTCCAAGCGCCCGCTACCAATACAAGCATACATACTGTGTACATATATACATACATACATACATATGTACATTCAATGTCGTGCACGCGCTCTCTCGCTGTTTAGGTATTCAAAGCTTTTGACTATACACACACCACCACACTTGCTTGCGGTCGCGCACCTCTTAACTCCCCCTCCGCCTTCCCTTGTTCACTTCGGCGTATGTACATACATATGTAAGTACACATTTTTTTTTTGTTTTTGCATAGCAATTTTGCGGCTTGATCGCCCGCAAGTTTCGACAGCGACCAGCGCGGCGCAGCTCATCCACTCCCTCATCGTCCCTCCATTTTAGAATTCTTATATACATATGTACATATGTACATACATACGTATATGGGTATTTATTGCCATAATTGTTGTTTTAGTTTGTGTTTACTTGCTAACAATTTATTTATTTATTGTTTTTATTGCTGCTTTTGCCACTATAGATAGCGCTGCCGTCTTTTCACTCACGCGCCGCTTTATAACGCGGAGGAGTGTAGCGGCGCTCTTCGTGTCACCTAAAATTGTTATTTATTTATTTATATACAAACTTACATACATACATACATATGTATTTACTTTAGCGTGCGTGTGTGTGTGGCGCTTCAATTTGCCAGCCATTTGCCTTTTGGCATTGACTCATTCTAATCAGCAACTACATTAAGTGTAATGCCTTATTGGACATAAGTGTGTTTTTTTTGCAAATTTTCCGCGTTTGCAGCTTTTGTTTTTGCATTTTTTTTTTGCAAAGCATACGCTCACCGATCGCATGAGATGATCTCATTTGCCAGCAGCGGTGAATATCCGAAAAAGTCCTTGGAAGTATTTTAGTGCAAAAAAGTTACACTGCCGATGCGTAATATGCCTGCAGCAGCTTCAGAGTTCGATGATCATTGCGAAAATTTAATTGAAATAATTTTTTTGTTCTTAGCAGGAGAGACTTCTCAAAATATTGTGATAGATGTCCCACAGGCAGATGGTCTCCGCCCGCT